TCCACAGTCTCATATGCATAGTCACACAAGGGACACATTGGGGGAAGTTCCGGGTTTATTCTGTTCAGGTGGAAGTTGAGCTGTATATGTTCTGTTCGTAGGCGGAAGATCGTGGTCTGTTTCTTTCTCTGAAGGCGGTTGATATTGTCATTCCTTTTTGTTGTAGTCACATGTTTGAAAACTGCTCTGCCTGTCTTTCCCAGGGCCCATCTGTTCATCCAATCTTGTTTGTTGTTGCTTTTGATGATTTGTTTTGCAGTGTTGTATGAAGTTGGAGTGTTGGGTTGTTCCTGTCTAGATCCCCGTTTGGCGAGTGTGTCTGCTCTGTCATTTCCAGGTATGTCTGAGTGTCCGGGGACCCACTGCATTACTAGGTTGATGCCACAGAATGTTATCAGATGATGGGATCCAAACAGTATATGGGTCAAATCTTGGTTTAGATGATGGTCATTTTCTATGGCTTGTAATACTGATAGTGAGTCAGTGAAAATCACAATACTCTGTGCTTTTCCAGGATGAGTGTCAAAAACTGTGCGGAGATGGTACAGTGCTGTTTCAATTGCCATCATTTCTGCATCGTAGTTGCTGCATTTCTCTCCACAGGCTGCAGAGATCTCATTGGAACTTCCATCTGGGTACTGTATTAGTATTCCATATCCGGCCTTGGTTGTGCTTTTGAATGCTGAGCCGTCCGTATAGACGTGTATCCAGTCATCTGAATAGCTGTCGATTGTTTGATGTGATGCAAGCATCAGCGTCACTGGGTCTGAAGATTTTGTGCTCTTGTCTTTGAGAGATGTTGTAATGATTGGCTTTTTTAAAGAAAGGTGGGGAGGGATGTTTTGGTTGACTCTTTTGGTTTCTTTTCTGTTTTGTGGTAGATGGTGGCTCTCCATTAGTTCTGTGATGTGATGCATGATTGATTTTTGTTGAATTCGTTTCTTTGGTTTCCATGTTTCTACGAATTTCCTGTTTGGGTGGTTGGGGCACATTCTTTTAGTTCTTTCATGCAGCTCCAAAACTGCTCTATCTCTGCGGATTCCCAGGGGTTCAACATTTGCAAGGATTTCGCACGCGGCGGTAGGTGTGGATCTCATGCCGCCATTTATAAAACGAAGGGCATTGTTTTGGACCTTGTCAAGGGTGTTGCAAGTAGTTGTACTGCACATTGTGAGTAGGCTATTGCTGTATTCCAGGAAAGATCGGACATAACCCAGTTATAGAGCTCTCAGAGTTTGTTTGTCTGATCCCCATGAACTGCTTGCGAGTTTCTTTAAAAGTTGGAGTCTTTTTTTAGCCTTGTTCCTTATGTTCTCCACTTGGCTTTTCATGGTTAGCCTATGGTCAAGTTTGATTCCTAGGTAAGTTGGATGTTCTTCTTTGGGGAGACTTTCATTTCCTATCTGTAGTTTGAGATTTTCTTTGGCTGCTTTATGGCTCTTCGTGACGATAGTGTATACTGTTTTCGTGCAGTTTATTTTAAGTTTCCATTTCTGACAGTAATTATGGAGCCTCTTAGGGTCTTCATTTAATTTCCCTGCTCCTACTATCGTGCTGTGATGTGTCTGCCAGAGAGCAAGATCATCGGCATAAAGAGTCTTTTCTGATTTCAGCACGTTCGTTACATCATTAAAGAAGATCAGGAACAAAGTGCAACTCAGACAGGAACCTTGAGGTAGGCCTTCCTCGAGTACTTCTCTTGACGAGTGGGCATTGTTTACCTTGGTTTCAATGTTTCGATCCGACAGAAAGAACTTGATCCATTTGTAAAGTTTGCCATGTATCCCGAGGTCCATCAATTTCATGAGTAGGCCTTTTCTCCACACTCTGTCGTACGCCTGTTGGAGATCTACAAAGATGGCGACAGTGTGTTTACTCTCCTGAAATCCATCCTGGATGTTTTGACTCAGTTTAAAATGTTGATCTTCTGTGTTGCTGCCTTTTCTGAAGCCTGCTTGGTGTGGGTTTAAGCTGTTAGTATTTTCCAGGTACCAGTAGAGGCGGTTGTTTATCATTCTTTCCACAAGCTTACCGATACATGATGTTAATGAGATGGGTCGGTAGCTTTTCGCTTCTCCAGGTGGTTTCCCATTTTTCAGGAGTGGTGTAATCTGGGGCGATCCTCCATGCCTTTGGTATTCCACTCGTTCTCCACGTGGTGTTTATCAGGGAAAGAAGAACTTCTTTTCCTTTAGCACCAAGGTGGCACAGCATTTCGTTGTGTATTTTATCTGGTCCTGGGGCTTTCTTTTCCTTTAGCTTTTTGAGGGCCTGACTGAGTCCCACCATGCTATAATCCTCTTCAAAAAGCGAGTTGTTCACAGTAGGAGCTTTTTCTTTATGCTTAGCCCTATTTATGAGAAGTCTGTCAGCCTCGGTTAGTCTGCCTGCCCTGTTTACAGAGGCGAAAAAAACGGTTGAAATGTTCAGCTTTCTTCTGGTCTTCAGTGATGGTGCTGCCTGAAAGGAAAAAGGGTTTGGGGTTGCTTCTTTGTCTTTCTCCCGAGAGGTTGCTGACAAGGGACCAAGCCTTTGTTCCATTGTGGCGGAGGTCGAGATCTTTGCAGGTTTGAGTCCATTTCTCTTTTTTGGCTTTTTTTACTGTCACTTTCACCTGAGCGCAGGTCTTGTTGTAGTGTATTTTGTTTATTGTTGATGGTGATTTTTCCAATGACTGTCTGGCTTTCTCTCTTTCTGCCACAGCAGTATGGATTTCTTCACTCCAAAAGGATTTGAAATTTCTTCGGCATCCCCGTGGAATGTGCTGAGATACAGCTTTCAGAATATTTTCGGTGACTTGTTCATTAAAAAGATCAGCATCTTCTGTTTCTTCTATGCTGGAGAGCAATTCGTTTGAGGTCTTTTCGTATTCTGCCCAGTTGGCTTTCTTAAAGTTCCATCGAGTTCTCCGAGGGTGGTTCAATGCAGGTGGGGAGGTGATCTGTATAAAGATAGGCCTGTGATCACTTCCTATGTCATCAATCACTTCGATGCGACAGGAGTTTTTAATGTCGGATGAGCAGATGGTGAGATCAGGCCGGCTGAGAGTCAAGTGGGCTCTGTGAAGTAAGGTAGGAGTTGAGTTGACATCTTGTAATACAGATAGGTTGCTGGTTTCGCACAGCTCCTCAATCTTTCGGCCTGTGCCGTTATAGTTGATGTAGCCCCATTCTGGAGAGTGGCCATAAAAGTCACCCGCACAAATGGTTTTTTCGTAGCTAGCTGCTTGCAGATCAGACAAGTCGCATGTTGTCTGTGGGGGGCTGTAAACATTATAAAGTGTGTACTTCCTACCAATGTGCCATATGGTGGCCTTCTGGATATCTGTCGGTTGGGCAGATGATAAGTGTACAACATCTCCCTGAACATCATTTCACAGGTAAGTGACTACACCACGGCATCCTGTGCATGTGCAGGCATAACTGGTGTATCCTGTGAGGTTCAGGTCCGTACCTTTGTGTAGGGTTTCTTGAAGGAGGGCAACATGAATCTGTCTGTCCTTCAGTACTTTGAGGAGTTCTGTTTTCTTGTTCCTCAAACCACAGATGTTGAGTTGCAAGAGGTTGAGGGAACTCTTCTTCTGGTTGGGGATGTAGTTTGCTCCCTTCTCACGCCGAGAGCTTTTCGGTGCTGGTATAGCACTGTTTCTGTGTGTATCACCAGTAGCTGACTTGTCGCTCAGAGCAGCCTGGTGATTGCGCTGCCTGGCGTGGACCTTGTTTAACGAGGCGACGTCTGAGCTCGCATGTAATTTATTTCTTTGTGTCATGGCATTGTGGACTGGGGTGTCTGTGGACTGTCTGCCCACCCTGAGAAGAGGTCATTCATGTTGAGGATAGGAAGGTACTAGGAGTTTTCAAGAGACTGGAAAGACCTAACTGCCCTGTGACCGTGTAATTCCGGTAGGGTTCACGTTGCCCATTCCCCGCCACCAATGGCTACTGGCTAAGGTTTTCGACTCTTTCATGAGGTATTGGCCAAGTGGGGAAGCCATTGGATCGTCACGTCCTGGTTCGTTGTGCCTTTACTAAGAGGTTTCACGGCTAGAAAGCAAGTCAGGCATTCTGCTCGGTCCATCTCTTGCACCCAGACACTCTCAAACTGGCTGGTACCTTCTCAACCACAGAGGGTGTGTTGATAAAAGTAGTAGAGGTGTTAGGCAGATTAGACACCCACTCAAGGGAGAGTAGGAGCGTGTTAGTGAGGAGCATAGCGTCTACCACGCATCGCCTGCTCCCATCCTGTTGTTTTAACCCCTCTAGGAAACGGGGGGGTTGGTTTGTTGGCGCCAACAACTCGCCACTCGCCAGAGCCGTGTCAGTGAGGACAGGGACCACCACGGGCAGGTACGGTTGGCTGGATTGGGAGAAGCTGTTTGAGACGCTTAGGCATTTCTCAATATTTAAATGAGACCTATCACCAGTCCTTGATCCCTTTAAAATGATGTATAGCATGACTGATTTCTGAGCGTGTGGAGAGCTTTATGCCCATTACAAAAAAAAGGACGTTTTAGGGAAAACAGTTGCGCTTTTTTTCACTAAGAGGAAGGGGAATGTCATCTTTGTGAGTGTTTTTGAACGTGTTCTGCTATTGACAGGGACATAAGACCTTCAATTTGGGAAAGTAGACATTTCAAAGTACTCGAATCCGTTAACAGCCTAATTTCGATCTAAGACAAAAAAAAAGACGTCATTTGACCATGGCCTTTCCCCACATTATGCCTTTACTAAAATGATTATTGTTTTCTTGTCGTGTTTTGGGAATTTTTAGACTACACGTTATTTACTAAGGTTGCTGATACTATTTATGGTCAACAGTGTTATTTCTGCTTGATTTCTACCTCTGAATATAATGTTTTTAAGAAAATGTAAGTTTATTACCTTTTAGATGTTGTGCTCTTTTCATTCTTCGCTTTATTTTGTCTCCATAAGCTTGCCTACCACCATTTCTTACTTTTGACATTAAATCATGTTCTCAGTACTGTTCTTTTTCTTCTTCAGAACTCAATGCAGTCCTTACAAGAGGCTCAAAAACTTTCGGGACACACAGAGAGAGTCTGGTGTGTGTCTTGGAATCCGTCTGGGACACTTCTAGCTTCATGTAGCAGCGACAAGACTATCCGTATATGGGGAAAGGAAGGTGGGTCAAATTCCATTTTGTTGGCCTTTCTGAGTTGCAGGCCTGTCAAGTACTCGGGTGAAATTGGAGCTCTCTGAACTTTTTATTTTTGCATGTCGAAGAACCCTGTCTGTTTTAGTTTTAGTAAGAGTTTTACAGCACTTGTTACACAATAAGGTCATATAAGTGCTGAAGATTAGTAGAGGTGTTATAAGAGAGTAACAAACACAAAAAAAGAAGGAGCACCAACCACTCACAATCCACTGAATCCTGTCTGGATTTGCATAAAATTCTTTTTTTTTCTTGAATGTTGAATACTGTTTCTGTCAGGCCAAATACCGATTCCACCCCGTGGTCAGACCTGGGAAGTGCAAGAGATATAATTTTCCAGGAGAAGGAAAAAACTTTTTATTTTAAAACAGCGTTGTCAAGCCGCTTCAATTTCGCAGAAACCACTCAAAACAATGACAATGTAACAAAATGAGGGTTAGTTACTTTTAAACAACATATTGATTTTCTTATGTTATGACGCTTACGAGGAATGATTACACTACGGTGGTTGTGATCAGACCTCGTAAGCAACGACTGTTGTAATTTTCGAGGTTTGATCATGGTGAAATGTTGGTAAAGTGCATACTTGTAAGCAACAATATTTTCGTACGACAGAAGAACCGACTTCAATGGATGGTGGTCAGGACTCCTTAGTGAGATCAGGGAGGCCAGGGTTTGATTCCCAGGCCAGTTACAATTAAAACATTATCATTAGTAATCTCATGGTTACCGCAACCTGCACTGGAGACAAGAGAAATGCCAGGACAGGTTGCCCGTTGCCAGAATAACGAGGCTGGATGATGCTTGTAAATTGTCTGACACTTCTTGTTCATGTTCAGCCCTTCGTTTTCTTATTTACCATCCTCATTTTTTTACATACAAACTTCTTAGAGCATCTTGAGTTTAAATTTAAAAACAAAAGATTACGTTATTAGTCAGAAACTTCAAATTAAAGAATAAAGATCATGCTCATGGGAGAACTTTGGCACCCGCCAAAGATCTTCAAAGTCACTCACACACACACACACACACACACACACACACACACACACACTCACACACCCACACATACACACACACACACACACACACACACACATCATAAACACACACAAACAGGCAAATAACACACACATGAATGTAAGTAAAATTATGAAGAAACAAGTGATATTGAATAGAGGGCTATTTGCCTGGTAATGGCGTAATCTGAATAAAATACTCCGTGAGGTGTTTTCTCAACCTGTCTTAGAACAGCATTTCTATTTTGGTAACAACAACCGTCTAAATCTAGCATCTGTGTTTGTCGCGGCCACAATTTTTGCATTTTGTCAACAAAAAACCACCGCCGGGAAGAACAAATAATTTAAAATCAACAACAACAAAAACGGAGAATAACATTCGTGAAAAAAAAAAGAAACCGAACCTCTTTACTTTTAGAAAGAAACTTGTTAACACCACGTTGATTTGTAATTTTCCTGTGAAGAATATAAGTAGGCTACATTACATACTATTTATATTGCTGTTTCTCTTTCATGTTTCCCTCTTTGTTGTGTTTTAATTTGTTAGTGTGTTAATATTTTTCTTCTCGTTTTTGTTCTGATGTGTTGTTTTCTATTTTTGTGTATATAGATCTATAGCGTTATGTTCTTCCTACCAGTTAAAAAAAAAATTTGTTATGTTAGAGTGTGTCTCCACCAAAACCAAATACTGACACTGGCAGGCCCCTTGTGTGTGATTCCATAATTCACATGTTATATCCTACTTTTTAAAAAATTACACGCATTTAGGGTTAAAACGGCCAGTCTATGGATAGGTTGACACTCGCCCTTATTTACTAATTTTTTTGCTATTCTAATTTTGATTTTATTCTGTTGTGAAACCTTTATTTTTTTACGTTTTTACACTCTGTGTGGCTACAAATGATATTCTGGATACTTAAAACAGCACAAAAAATTCTAGTGTTTTAGATTAAGTTACCTCTATCAACATATTCCTGCATGAGTCGTTCAAAAAGTTTTGCCTGAAAGTTAATAATTTCTTTATTACTGATGCTACATACAAAAGTTATACACCAAATGAAATCTTAAGATGTCTGCTACTTGACAGTATCTTTACTTTTCAACATTATTGCCTTCTTTGTCAATGCAGATCCGCCATCGTCGAATAAGTTGTCGCTTGCCGTTGGCGAAAAATTCACATGGTTTTCCTCTGAACTAGCGACACACATCTTCTTGAACTTCATCGTCATCTGCATAACGTTTTCCTTTGAGGTACTTCTTCAACTTAGGAAAAAGATAAAAGTCAGACAGAGCAAGGTCTGGACTGTATGATGGGTGCGGTGAGGTCTCTTGAAATCTGAGACTTTTCTTGGCATCTTGAGTTTGTCGACTCTTGTGTGGACGAGGGTTGTCGTGGTGCAAAATTGCTTTTTTTCTTAGCCAAACTTGTGACAGCCGTTCTCTAAGTTTTCTCAGGGTCTCAATATATCGTTTAGAGTTGATAGTGGAGCCCTGTTCCAAAAATTCCATATGAATCAGACCATCACAGTCCCGAAACACTTTCATAAGCACTTTCTTTGCAGATGAAACAACTTTCTACTTCTTGAAGCTAGGTGAGCCAGTGTGCCTGTATTCTTTCGATTGTCTTTTGTTCTCTGGGTCATAATGGTGTACCCAAGTCTCGTCTCCTGTGACTATACGGCGTAAGAAAGCTTCAACTTCATCGGTATAATGCTTGGAGGAACTATTAATAGGAGAGGCCGCGAGTCGCGTAACGTGAAGCCGCTGCAGACGACGGTCGGCCATGTTTGTGAGATCAGCTCAGTTCTCTCAGTTGTAAACTTAGTGTCGACCGAATGGCAGTTTGCGTAGCGTTCGGGTCCGGTGGGCCTCTCATTCAAAGGTCCTGGGTTCGAATCCGAGTAGTGACGGAAAATTTTGTTCTCTAAAATTCTACTTTCTCTTTCGTCTGCTTTCATCTCCACTTTCTGCCCCTACCTCCTCAGGGCTCCGGACTCTTTCTGCAGCCTTTCTACTGCTACTCCTTGGCTCCTTCTTACCTCTGTCTTTCAGCCACACCCCTGATCTTCTGGTAGGAAAGATCTACCCCTAGCCTTCTCGGACAAGGGCGAAAAAATCTCTTAGGTCGCGTATGCAAGTTGCGCAAATTAAAGGTCCCTTGGTGGTCTAAAATCGATTAGAGTAGGCTTTGGTCGCCACCCAGGCAAAATTCAAAATTTTCTACCAACTTAAAATGTTTAATGCGTCCCTCGCACTCATATGACTTATGCAGTTGCGAGTGCCGTAAAACACTTATAAGACCTACGAAAAATGTTTTAAAAAATATCAGTCTCCAGCAATGGCACTGAACTTGATGACGAAGTGCTTTCTGATTTAGCCGTAAATGCACCTCACAGTAAAAACAGAATGAAAAAAGATTGCAGAAAATTCAGTTTGCCACGTATGTGCCTAGATCTAGTCTAGCATACTTGTCAATTTGCTCTGCATGTTGCTTGCATTGCTGGTTTTGTGTTGTTAAGGTTGACAAAGCATTTGAAAATGTGAAACCTGCATCGGTGCCTTTGTTGACTCCAATGTGTCAAAAGTAAATTCCTTGCTGTTTTTTGAAGTCTCGTCGGAGGTTCGACAGTGCCTTCAAAGAATGTCATTGAAGTGTGTTTGGTGTGTGAATAACATTTTTGATGCCATGTGTCGTCTGTCTGTGCAGGGGGTGTGACATTGTCAAGAGAGATTTGTCATAAATTAGTGCAATCGGTTTTGAAAATCTTCTTATTATAAGCCTATCATTTCAAATTCTCTATTAATTTTTCAATACCCTTAACAGTATTTTGTAAAATTTAGATAAAATGTCTGGGTGTTTTAAAGGTGCCCCTCCCTCCTCGCTTTATTTGGGGCTGTTTTATTCTTGTTTTTGTTGTTGTTGTTTTTTTTTGTGTGTGTGTGGGGGGGGGGGGGGGGGTAATTTCCACCATCATACTTCACTCTTATCTGCCTTGCCCTCTCCTTCCTCATTCTTCGCCCATCCCATCCCACCCGACTTTACCATCTTTTGGGTAATCATTTTCAATTTTGTTAGAAATATATTCTGTTGTAAGTTTAAGTCAAGAAGACTACGTTTTTGTAAAAATAATGTCAGTGATGACATCATTTTGCACTGATGAAGTTCTATGACCGAAAAGTCTGCAAATTTTGTTATCCCGTTTATATTTTTGTTTTGATCCTTATTATCCCAATTTCTTCTCTAAAACAAGTAAAAAAAAATTATCTTACCGTCACAATGTGTATACATAGTACATGTATTACCAAATGTTCGACTGAGTGAGCTGGTAATTTGATGTAAGTAAGATTTCTTACTGTCCTTATTATATTGTTACTATCAAGAAGTCTTCGTTTTGTGTAAAAATAATGAAGTTCGACTACCAAAAACTCAGAAAATGTTATATCCGGTTTATAATTTTGTTTTGATCCTTATTATCCCAATTTCGTCTCTAAAACATGTAAAACAGAATATCTTACCATCACAATGTGTATACATAGTACACGTATTACTGTAAATATTCGACTAAATGAGCTGGTAATTTGATGCAAGTAAGATTTGTTAACATCCTTATTACATTACAACTGTACGTGAGTGCTTATAATGCTGTAATTAACATTGACAAAGAAATTTTGAGAGACAATGGAGTCCGAGCAGCTTGTTTTGAAAGGAGATTACGCTGCGTACGCTGCATTGCTTTGAACTTACAAAGATGGCGGCAGGCCCGATAAGCTCCGCCCTTTCGGCTTCAACTTGGTTGGAACTGTTGAGCGGGCGACGCAACGTTAGGGCCTCTCCCTATATAGTTACTCCAAGGTATAATGAGCCAGGAGTTCATCACTAACTTGACTTCGGTTCAATTTCAGCTCGGGTGACAACATGTGGGGAACCCACCGTGCACACACTTTCCTGTAACCCAACACATCATGGATGATACACTGAGCACTCCCTACAGAAATCCCTAGAATTTCACTGACATCTCTTACTTTGATCCGCCGGCTTGCTTGGATGATCTCATCCACTCTCTCCTGGTGTTGAACATCACTGGCAGAGTTGGGACGACCACATCGAGCTTGGTCATGTCTCTGCTGGACTGGTTTCAGCGAACTCCTTTGCCCATCTTCGAACAGTACTTACATCTACACATGCTTCACCATAGATAAGCTTCATTCACCTATGAATATCGATGGGTGCAGCTCCCTCTGCAGTAAGGAACTCAATAATAGCTCTTTGCTTTAAGCGCACATTCATAGGTTTGCTGGACGCCATTTTCTCGGCAACAATATACACTAGCTTCATTGATGTAAACTGCAATAGCACAAAGGTGTGACATCATAGTATAATTCTGTTTTGGGGTTTTAGAGTATACCTATTGAAAGTCAATTGTGTACAAATTTCATGAAGATATCTTTAATAGTTTAGAAGTTATTGAAAAGGAGGCAAAACTTTTTGAACGACACTCGTATATTATTATGTCGTCACGGAGAGTAGAAAGCTTGAAATTTAATGGCAACTTTTGCCATTTTTGAGTCAACTTTTGGACAAAAAAATAGCAACAAACGCAGATGCTAGCTAAATAGATAAATCAGTGTTTCACAGTTGGTTTTAATTTGAAGATAATCAGTGATTCATAATGCAAACTGGCCGACAATTCACCCTCCCCTTTATGTCAAATGTAGCATCTCACATCCTTTATCACCAAGTTATCTATTGTAAAGTTGTGCATGGACAATTTGGTTTTGTAATTAAGAGATGGAGCTTGTAGACAAGCCGCCAAGAGGACAGAATGAAGGTCCATGGCGATTACACAGATTTTTACTGTTGCTTGCTGCAGCCATTTTCTTATCGTCCTTTTAGGCTTGAGCTGGTGACTTTCCTTCACTGAAACGCTTCCAAATCTCATCACCGACTTTCCGGCTGTATGGCCCACACACAGATCGCACTTAAAAGACATGTTATGTTCATGGAAATTGCCCCTGAATGAGAATGCCGAGATGGCCAAATGCTTTTGTATGTTTTTTTCTGGTGACAAAGTGCACCATTTCTTTAAGTTCGTTAATACTCTTGAAAATTGGCTCTGTATTCAACTGTCCTGTTTTGTTTTTCGACAGTAATATGAACTCACTCTGGACTGTTTTGCAAAGAAATCTTCTATAAGAAATATTTTCTGTGTGGATGCTTTCTTGTAGTGAGGGTTGTCTCCTGCGGCAGTGTATGGTCAACGCTCTGTACTGGCAGTTTCATTGGTGACAGAAGTGTCTTCATCCACGACAATGTTTCTAATACATCAATCACCGAGAGCTGTTGCCCTGAGGAACATGCTTTTGCAAACACAGAGTTTCTGGCATTCTTTTTCCAAAATATATTCAACTTCTATTCATGTCTAGAGATGCTCAGGACTCCCTTCTGATTGGATGTTTAACGTATGCTTCTTTTCCTTCTCAGGACAGGGGCCAGATACAATTGAGAACTTTCTGTCTGTCACATTCGGAAAATTCTTTGCGCTTCAATCCTGCTCTCTTGCATTCACATGACCTTTTCATTTCTCTTATGAGTTTGTGTATATCATTTCAGACGTATGCCTGACCTTGCTTGCATAAATCTGTTCGTTAGAAGTTCTGCTTCCGTTCTACTGGAATGCTTTTCCTTTGTAGTACTTGTGTTTTAAAGTCAGACTGTCCACATAATCTGGTTCAGACATCATATGCTGTGGGGAACCAGGCTAAAAATGCAACATTGCTTCCACAATGGGTGGCATATGAGCTGACAATTCAGGGGAATCTGACACCAGAAAGGTAATGCAGGGCAGACATCGAGTGAGACATGGGGTGACTGAACATATGGATTTGATAAGTGGGGTTTCAGAACTAATGCAGGCTCGGCAATGGGTGGTGCCAAGTCAGCCGTGAGTGATATATCATAGGGTGATCACGTTGGAGAACGTGGTGAACCAGATAGAGAAGATGGTTCAGGATTGACCATAAGGGGCGCTGGTGGGTGTGGTGAAGTAGTTGTCAGGAGTGAAGCAGATTCGACAGAAGATGACGATTCGTCGATTGTGACTAATACAAAACATGTCGGAATTGGAAAACTGATACAAGAGGTAGATAGGGGTTGCTTTGACCACTCCTAAGCGCCGATGACCGGTCTCGAATCACCGCGCTCAGTTGTAATCAAAGCTTGTAGGCGGCAGGATGGCGCTTACTAGTTCTGATCACAACCGCTTTTGGAGAGAGGTCAACTTACGAGTTTTGTTTACTTACGATAAAAGGCACTTTTATGCAGTTTTTCGTGTGCACCGTAAACAGTAGAATGTGATGGTGTGAAAAAGTCAATTTTGCAAAAATTGTCGCTTACAAGGTCTGATGACGGGGGCATTGATATGACTTTCTCGTAAATGATGTGAAAAAAACTCGTCATTTTTTGTTGTTTTTATTTTTATGTACATTATAGTCTGTTACAACTGAATGTGGATAATTATAAAACAGCGGTAAACCAAAAGAAAAGAAAATCCCTGAGAGTGGGTTCTTTACCCTCTGTGGATGGAATGCACCCCTGAGAGTATGTTGATGTATGTGTATATGTAGCAGTTACTGCACAGGACCTCAGATGCACTACTTACTTTACTTTACATTCCGATCCAGCAGCCATTTGTGTTCTAGCCCTTCGGTCTGGTCCTCAGATGCACAAGTCCTGTAGTTTGTGAAGGTTTGGCGTTTGATCGGTACTTGAAATAGGTTGAAACATGTACCTGATGGCTGGCTGAATTGAGGTCATTTGATTTACATGTAATTGAAATAGTGCATATATTTTGTTTCCTTTAACATTCACTATCTCAATTCAAAACTTATTTCAGGAGAAAACTGGGTCTGCAAGTCTGTGTTGACGGATGCGCACACACGCACTGTCCGCTCAGTGTCATGGTCACCCTGCGGCCAGTATCTGGCGGCTGCCAGCTTTGACGCCACTACCAGTGTGTGGAGTCGCAAGGGCGGCGAGTTTGAATGTCTAGCTACACTGGAAGGCCATGAGAATGAGGTGAAGAGCTCATCCTGGGCTTGTACCGGCAGCCTCCTGGCCACCTGCAGCCGAGACAAAAGTGTTTGGATTTGGGAAGGTAAATACAAGATACAGTGCTTCTGGTCAAAGTATGCTTACGTGGTATTACTGATTCATCATGGTAGTACAGTGGAAACCATATATAACAGGCCCGGTAATAACAGGGATCCGGTAATAACAGGGATTTTTTAAATCCCCGTTTTTTCCTGCTCTTTGTCTCTATTAAAAGTTATCGGCAATAACAGGGCCTCATCGCAGCCCAACCGGTTATAGCAGGGACAAAGGCTCGTTACAATGTGTAAAAAGTAAGAGAGAGTAACGCAGTGATGGAGCAAGCCCACGCAAGCCATGCCACTGCAAGCACACGCAGCGTGTGAAGCGAGAGAGGGCTGCGGTGTGCTGCAGACCTCGATCTAGCCCGATACCTAGCAACACACACGCGTAATGTGTCACCAACGATGTCAAGCGCACGAGAAAATGCCTATCAATTGACAAAAAATACGAAATGATCCAGGGTGTTGACAAAGAGCAAGCTCCACTGGCAGGGATTTGTAATCAGTTCGACATTTCACAAGGGTCGATTCACACCATTAGCAAGGATAGAGAGAAGATAGTGGCAGCATACTCCAATGGAAAGTTTGCTCTGGAGTGAAAGAAGATGAGACTACCCACTACCCGATGCAGATGCTGTGGATCAAGCTCTTCTGATGTGAGGCAATGGAGAAAGTTGGTGCCAAAACTCCTGTTCGTGGGTACTTGTGGCAAAGGAAACTACCCATGAATAAGTACAGATGGATTAGTCCACAAATGCTCACTTTCCTTGCATTTCTGATTTAACAGGGATCGGATATAACAGGACATTTTCTCTACTCCCACCATCCCTGTTATATCAGGTTTCCACTGTAGGCCTACATGAATTGCGTTTGGTGGTCTTAGTGATAGGAGAAAGGAGTGGTTTATTGAGGAATGAACAGGCGTAGTAGAGGAAAAAGAAAATTAAACTTGAGCTTGGCTTCAAACTTTTGTGCAATCAGTTATGTTGAAGGTCATTTCGGAGGAGAGTATTTTCATTTCTGGGGAGAGGGGGGGGGGGGGGGAGGGGGGTGTTAAGCTTTGGAATTGCTCATGTGCTGATTGTCTTTAAATAAATTCATTTTCTGAAAGCTTCATAGTATAAATATAAATTTAAAGGCTTCATTGTATGAGGAAAATCATTCTTTTTGTTGCTTTTTTGTCATTTTATTTATTCATTTTGACATGCACTTTTGTCCTTTAAATGAGGTCTTTATTTTCTTTTTGAATTATTAACAGTTCTTTTTGCTTTTCAGTTACTGCAGATGAAGAGTTTGAGTGTGCCAGTGTGATGTCTACGCATACTCAGGACGTAAAACGGGTCAAGTGGCATCCTACCAAAGAGCTTTTGGCGTCGTGTGGCTATGACGACACAGTCCGGCTGTACCGGGAGGAGTCGGATGATTGGGAATGCTGCAACACACTTAAGGGCCATAGCTCTACTGTGTGGGCCCTGGATTTTAACCAAACTGGAAACCGCCTTGCAACATGCAGCGCTGACTGCTCCTTGAAAATCTGGCAGGAATATGAGCCGGGTAATGCTGAGGGTGTGAACACCACTGACAACATCTCAGTGTGGAAATGCGTCTGCACTGTCAGCGGCTTTCATGAGAGGCCGATTTATGACGTGAGTTGGAGCACGCTGGAAGACTTGCTGGTGACTGCAGGTGGGGACGATTCTCTCTGTGTGTATCGAGAAGTTCTTACAGCTGACGCGAAGAACTCGCCTAAGTTTGAGATGGTGGCTAGAGTCCGAGGGGCTCATGCTGAGGATATAAACAGTGTTGTTTGGAGTCCCTCAGAAAAAGGTTTGCTGGCGTCTGCCAGCGATGATGGGGATGTAAAGTTGTGGAAGCTTCTGCAAGAGGCATGATAAGCTCATTTTCTCCCCCTTATCCTTAAAAGTGGTGCATCTGAAGTAGTTAGTATGTTATTCTTTTACAAAAGTTTTGGCTTAAATGATTTGTTTGTAGATACACCTGAAGTACATGTAGCCATACAGTCTCTGACAGGTGTTCATTATTTGAGTGAGGTTTTCTAATGTTTATTTTGTAACCAGTGTGTTTTAATAAAATTGAAAGGTTTAAATGGTATCAAACTTGCAAATTTAATGACAGATTGTTTGCCACACCTCAGTTCCTGTTTGCTCTTGAAATTGTCAGAAAATGGAGAGATAAAACAATTGTATCATCTGAATGATATGACACCCCTGTTTATGACCTCAGGGTTGTATCCATTTTAGGTCACTGACATCAGTGGATTATTTTATATTATGGAATGGATTGGTGTGTTTGAAGCATACATTGTGCTTTAGATGTAAAATAGTCCAAGTTGTTTGGCTTGATGAATAATGCCTTTCTTAAATATGGTTTGATGGAAACGAAAAAAAAGAAAAGTCATAATTAAAAAATCAGTGCTTGCCAACCAGGATGATATCGCTCACTAGTAGGTGATTTGGTAATTTTGGTGGGTGGTGAAGATCACCCAGTGATAGGTGTTATTTATTGAAATGTTCCGATTTGAAATACATTCAGTTCATACTGGTGGGCTGTACAAAAACTTACACCTCTTAAGAGTAGCAAAAGTGGGCACTGGCTATAAAAAGGTTGACAAGCACTGGTTTAAAAGGTATGCCTTCCCAGAAAGACCCTTGAGCTGTTGGTTACAAGCAACTCATTTAATTTTGTGTACAGTACCATGATTGTCATATGGAGCGTATCAATTTTTTCATTTAAGAATAAACAGTGTATATATACAGCTCTCTTTGTTACTGGTGCGAATTAAAAAAACCCTCATTTGTTGCTTTCTTGTATCCACACTTTTTGCTACACATAGATTTAATTATTGCATAATATATCAGTGGCTCAGTTGTCTCGGGGCTTCCCTGGTGGTGCACCATGGCTACGTAGTGTTTATTTGGCTTATCAGTTATCAGAAGGGAATACCCTATTTTGGAGGGTCACGGGACCATTCAGCCGGACTTTTTTCCATCACATCCAGAATTATTTTATTCAGCAAAAGGCTCAAAATTCAAAGGTGTAATTTGTATGACTCTCAAAACTTTGGGTTCATGAGCAGCATTGAGTTGAAGTGAAAGGTAAATTTCACCTGTGAAATTTTTCTTTTCATTTTGATTTTTCATTTTATACCTCACTCAAAGCAATATCTTCTACAGCTGTTTTTCTGTGCACATACCAAGTTTCACTTCATTGCATGGATGCGAAGCATGTCTAATGCTGCACGAAAAAACCCATCACTAAAATGGAGTTTGCCTCCTGTGCCCTACCGGAAGAGCCTTGCGGCCTGAGAGAACCATGGCTTCTCCACAAAGGCGTTATGAATCTTTACCAATCTACATATTGCCAATCTTGATTAATTGATGCCATCAAGGATCAGCTTTGTGAAGTATCAGCTGTTAAGCTTTTAGTCGTCTGTGGTAAACATTTTGTTTAGTGCTCCCAGACTGGCTTTTAACTATTTTAACCAGTTCTGAAATTGTTAAGTGTCAATTCCAGGCTTACAATTGTACTACTTTTACATGACTTTGTGGAGAAGGTGACTACCAAGATTGCTATGGTACTTTTTTGTTTTTATTTGGTCATGTCGTAATGGTGCCTCAATGCGGATTGCCCAAGATTTTATTTTATTCTATTCAGGCCTCTGACAGAGTGCTGTATATATTTTTGTTCCTGTTATTCCAAGGTGTCAGCAAAGCGCTGCCCAAATAAATATTTTGTCCTTCCGAGGCCTTGGCGCCTTGCTCAAGGACTAACATGCTCATTACCAGTCTTTTCTCCTTCAGAAAGTTAAATACTTTGATTTGGTTCCCAGTTAATATATCTTGATATAATAATATCTGTAGAAATTTCACTACGTTGGTTTTATTTTCCCAGTTCTGACATAATCATGGCAAGATCATCAGCAGGTTTTATTCAATTGCTCAAACAGTTTGATCTTTCTTCTATCAGTTGTCATGCCCATGTAGTTAGAAATGGTCATTTTCTTTCTTTTTTCTTTTATTGAGAGAAACACAATACTCAAGGACACTATCAACACTTTTGCCGTCATTTTACTTTGTCTCTCTATGCGAACACACAGGTTACACCTGATTCAGCTTTTTTCTGACGTTGCTCAATAGGAAAAAACCTAAATAGCACACTTTCCTCAAGTGACACAGTTACCTATGTACTCATTGGACCTCTGTTAGGCAGTGTTAAGTGCTTTCTACTCTCTGCGACTACACGGCTTAATTTTAGTTCACAGAAGGAATAGGTTTGAAATGCTGTGTGTGCATGTTTATGTTTGTGCTGCTGAGATTTAACAAATATGGATCTCGTTGAACCACTTAGTTTAAGAGGGACCTTTTTATTCAGTTTAAATAAGAGGAAAAGTAGGTGAAACGGCTTCATCCCCACCATCCAGAAAAATTTAACCTAGAAAAGAACAAAGCGATGGAAGACCAAGGCGACTTTTCTCATCTGAGTGGTTCTCAAAGTGACGTAACTCACCGTGAGTATAGAAAAATAATCACAGTTTTGCTCTTATTGCTTGTTATTTGGTTGATAAAGTAGTGGAAGTAACCTGAGCCCCACCCAACATTTCATCCACCCGCCGCCACTGAGTCTGCTTGGATGTATCCCTCTCAGCCCAGGTTGGCCCTCTCTCTCTCTCTCTCTCTCTCTCTCTCTCTCTCTCTCTCTCTCTCTCTGGGGGGGTAAAAACCCCTACATTTAATTCTGCTACCCTCCCTGTCGCTGTAATCGTGACGGATTAATAAAGGGAATTAATACACATGTGTATAAATAGTGGTCAAATTTCACAGTGAAAATTATGGATTTTTTCCCTTTCAGATTCCTGTGTTGTTATGAAAATAAACACCACCTTGTACCAAAACTCTGATTGTACATACAAAAAATTCCACAGTGTTTCCGCTCTCCCACCAAATGTTACCTGCGGCATCTCTCTCTCTCTCTCTCTCTCTCTCTCTCTCTCTCTCTCTCTCTCTCTCTCTCTCTCTCC